ATGCCGAGTCCCTGAAGAACAGAGTTTGCAGTCCTGCTGCTGCACTGTTATTAGGGACTTGTGCATACATTTCAGTGTGCTCTGTAGACTCTCTGGTCTGCCTGAAGACAGATAGCAGTAGTGTACATGGCAGCCCTGACTGGCTGACCAGACTGCTCAGAATCAGCCATGTCTCCCTGCTGTGCAGTGTGGGATTGTAAAGGACACGTTTTGCTCTCTGCTTGGCTGAAGCGGCAGAGTCTAGCAGGCCACACACAGTCCCATTGGGAGTGGGGAGAAGGGAACAAGGCACCCTGGGATGCTGAAGAACTGTACTGTAGCTTCTCATAGAAGAGAATGTGGGAGTGTTTTAACCCTGGTTGTTCCCAGGTTATTTTTCTCTCAGAAGGGAAACTTAATGTCTGTATGTGGCCTAAATATGAATACAGCATTTGTATCTATGTGTACTGTCAAGGGACATACTGTTTTGAACAACTGTGCAGTGACTTTAAATACTTAAAAGGTATACTGTACATATTGTATATGTATACTGCACATGGCCAGCAATATTTAAAATATTCTGTGATCTTTTAAAGTGTAGGAGTGCTCTTGTCAACTCTCTCTCCAGAGAAATCTAAATCTAGAACTATGATGTCACTTATCTCCCCTGCAAAGCAGTTTCATAAATACATGCAACTTTTATTACAAATTAGCAAGTGACATTAGCTTGTATGATGTCTTATTTGCCTTGTTTAATCCAAATAAAGACTGAAGTATATATTTTGGGAAATATTAATCAAAATAAAAGCACTAATTACACATCCTGTTAAGTCTGTGTGTTTAGATTTAACAAAAATAAATACAATGTAAGGTAATTTAGTGAACTGGCATAGCAATATCGTTCCTTTCCCCTTCTCCACAATGAAATTATAAAAAGCTCATTTTTCAGTCCTTACTTTTAAGGGTTGGGTACAGACATTCAAAAAGCTCGAGCTTGAATTGATTCAAACTTTGGAGGTTAGTCTAACCTGAAAAGGCTGAACCAGTTTGCAAGTGGATAGACATTCCCT